CCAGATGACTTTAATGCATATGTTAAAGTTTGAGAACTACTGCTATAATTTATCCATATAATTTGATGTCCTTAATGACACTTTTATCTTTGTATGGTATCTTAAAAGGTACAAAATGCCTTTTAGATTTTATTACACCATAATATTACTTCTATCATCCGGTCTGAATTCCCAGACTTTGAATACTTTCCTTACTACTGCCCATCCAGCCACCCACCCACCCACCCACCCATCCAATATTTGTAGAGCATATGTTGCATTCTCAGTGCGATTCTACGTGTTTTATCAGCCAGAGTTTTGCTTGATATGAACCTTTATTGAGTGTTATGGAAAGGAATTCATCTCTTGTAGTATAAAATATCTCATTATATTGACTCTCAGGTCACAATTTAAAGTAGAGAATACAAATCATCTTTTAAAGTCAATTTCAACTCTGGTTCTTTGAGCAAAAATAGCAATTCCCCAATTTTTTTTATTCTCATAATCTTTCAATTATCTTTTTTATTGTTCAATTACAGCTGTCCCCATTATTCCCCCATTACCCTCCTCTGCCCTACCCACCCCACCTCCCACATTCAATCCTACCCTCCCCATTGTCTTTGTCCCAGGGTCCTTTATACATGTTCCTTGATGACCTTTCTCTTTTCCCATGTTATTCCCCTCACCCTTCCCTTCTGGTCCCTGTCAGTTTGTTCTTTATTTCCATGTCTCTGGCTCTGTTTTGCTCACTTGCTTGTTTTGTTGATTAGGTTCCACTTATGAGTAAGATCATATAGTGTTTGTCTTTCACTGCCTGGCTTACTTCACTTAGCATAATGTTCTTTGTGTAGAATATGCACCTGACCTTCTTTTCTGTGTATATCACCTTATAGCTATTATCTGAAGGCTATGTACAGAGTAGTATGTGTTGGTCTCCATTGATACTGATAGAGAAAACGCCATCAGTGATTCACCCTTTCCTAAGCAAGAAGCAAGTCTTGCTCTTTGTTTCCTGCTCCATGCTAAGCTAGCTAAGACATGTGTTTCTTCTTTGCATATATGCTAGACTTTAAAAAAATAAATTTATGATTTATACCTTTTAACACTTAGAACTTGAAATTGCCCATTTCTCAGATATTATCCTAGTGTCAATGTTCCTTTTTTTCTTAATAGCATTGTTGTAATTAAATAGAAGTCTTTCTGTTGAAGTAGCGAGAGTGTAAGTTGCTGAAAAAGAATGCATTGCATTCAATAAAATAACAGTATTGTCCCTTCTTTGAAGATAACCATTTAATAGTATATAGCATTGATGCTGTATTTTATATATAGGAATTTATATATGCTTTGGATAAATGATAGCTGGAGATACTCATGATAAAACAGAAGTGTAGTCTTTAAAAGCCTATTTAACTATAATAAGATTTTTCAATGTCATGTACACATTTTAAATTCATTAATATTCCTAATAATGAAGAATCAGCATTGACTCAGTATGTGAACAGTTCATTAATTAGAGAGCCAATGCTTCCATGTCTGGAAGTAAGTATTTTTTTTTAAGATTCTGATAATCTTTGTCTGTACCTACTTATTCATGGTCCACATTAGAACTCATTCTGTCTTCATATCTCTGTTTTGCAATTCAGACTTCCAGTTTGAACCAATTTACAAATTGTCTCCAGAGAACCACAATGCTTTTACTAAATTTATAAAGTTTGCAATTTTAAATAGAAATAAACTCCCCGCCAAATTTGCAAGATCTAAAAGCATTAGAATGTCTGTTTTGGCCATGTTAGCTTTTGTTTACAAAGCAGGTTCTATAAATAGAAAAGCTAAAAAGCTTTCTGAATTTTATTTATTCATTGCAAGATATTGTGGTGGTATTTTAAGGCAGTTTTGAGACATGGAAAAAAAGTGTTGTCTAATGAAACCAAAGCAGTAGCAAATCTGTGCCTGCTAACATTAAATATAATGATTTATATAGGGATTAAGGATTTGGTTTACAACCTTGGACAAACCTACACAATGATTTTTAATGTACCTTTCTGATAGTTTGGTGATGGTGTGCTAGAAATTCAAATTTATCTTGAGTAGGTTTACTGTAGTATAACTAGTCTGGTGACTAAACAAAATACAGAATTCAGACAAGGACATTATTATCTGGCCATTAGAATGCAGTGAAATTGATGGTTGTGGACAATAGGGAGATAGGGACAAACCTGTGTTTTGTGAAATATTAATTAGTACATGACTTGCTGCAAAACAAAAATAAATAAGAGACAACCAAACAAACACAATATGTGAGACCCCTATGCAGAACGAGGCCACTGCAGGGACTCAGTCTGGTGGATGTGTTTGCAGAGATATGAAGAACATGCAGAAATGTGTGTGTGTGTGAGTATTTGGGTTTGCTAATTGCAAACCTAAAAGCAAAAAACAAAACCAAACAAAACAAAAAAACCCACAAAAAAATGGAAGGAAGGAAGGGAGGGAGGGAGGAAGAAAAAAATATGTGTGTGATTTATCACCTGACTTAAATTCCCCCTCCCCCAAAAAACTGGTTCCAGTGACAATAGGAGTTAGGCCCAGTGAGAAATGGTATGAAATATATTCAGTTGGCTAGACAATTGGTTGAGCAAAGCTGATGAAGGAAATGTAACGATATCAAAGCACATTGAGACTTGGCTAAGGCCTTTAAAAAAATTTTAAAGATTATGCTGACCTTATTAGAAATGGTTTTAATTACATCTATGAAACTGAGTGGACAAGATAGAAGTAATGAGAATCATGTTTTAAAACACTTTTGTTATCTCAGAAACTGTATAATTTTCAAAACTTTTTCGGCGGTAGTACTGAGTGTAAGCAAGTTTGACAGGATCTAGTAAATAATGCCAGGAAGCAGGAGGTAGGATCCCGTTTCAGCACAGCCTTCAGGAGGTTGAGACACCTATTGTCATGGTTCACAGAAGTGAAGTTTTTAAATTTAATATAAGATGTATGAAGTATAACAAAGGAATTCATTTTAAGGTTTGTTTATCCTAAATAATAATAATTATTTTTATCAATATAAACATAAATGAATAACCACTTACTCACCATTCATCTTAAGAAGTGGACCATAACCCATCCCTGTAAAGCCCCCTCATGCCCCTAAGCAGTTGTGCCTCCTTCCGTAGGGATAGCGGCTGTGGTGACTTTTCTCTTAACCGTTTTCTCTTTAGTGGTACCACACGTGTACCTAGCCTTAATCAATGAATTATTTAATTTTCTTTGTTTTAACCTTCATGTAATTATAACTTTGAATTGTTTGAAGTTGCCTTTTCCCTTTAATTGATTTTTTTGGTTTCATTCATGTTTATAGTTATAGATTATTGATTTTCCCTGCTGCATACTATATTATTATAGGCTACACCCTGGTTTGATTTATCTGTTTTAATGTAAATGGATATTCATATTGCTTCTAGTTTTAGTTCTGTTACAAAGAATGTTATAACGAACATGTTTGCATGTGCTACACATGTGCAAGAATCTTGCTGGGGCATCTAGCAGTTGAATTACTGGGTTGAAGTTGCGTATTTAAGCTTCCTGGGTCATGCCAAACAGTTCTCCAAAGTGAGTGTATAAATGCTTTCCCACATCATCACTGACACTGTGTAAGCTCTAGAAATGATAACACAGACACTTCGTGTCGTCTTTCATGGTCACCGTTACTGTGTTCAGGTGCTAACACCGACTTCAGGCCAGAAAACAAATACATGTGTGTACAGCTCCGAGAGCCCCTGCTGCACAGTTGACAACAGAGGTGACATCAAGGGACTGATAAGTTCGGGAAGAGATTGTTTTTTGTGGAGTGAGATTCCAAATACATGAACAAAATATTTGTAGCATTTAAATAATCAGGATATGTAGTTTTATAATGTGCAAACTTAATCTCTTAACATGCCTGAGAGGTCTTATCTATAACTAGTGCTTAATTTATTGAAGTAGATCAATTATATATTTAAAAAATAAAATTAGTCTTTGAAGAAGACAACATTTTATTTCTGACAAAGGACATGGTAAGCCCAGAATTTGCAATGTTTGTGATAGTAACATTACAGCTCTGGTATGTTTTTTCAAAATGCTATCCAGCCTTCAGAAAGAGGGGAAAAAGAAAGATCTTTTCCCCCTATTCCCATTACAACTATTGTGTAGCTTCCTAGCTATTATTTTTTCTTTTTTTTCCTTCAAAACTCTAAAACTTACAGTGGATCCCTGTCACTTAAATACACTCCTTTGCTTTTTCCCCCGTTTTCCAAAAGTGGTTCCTGTTGCATCTACGGTTCTTCCCCTGCCCGCGGACAGCAGCCTGCCACAGCAGGCCAGGCTTTAGAGCCACAGACACGCTGTCCCTTTCTATTCTGCCGTTTACTAGCTGAGCGGTCTCAGGAAGTCCCTGCACTTCACCGAGTCTCAGTTTCCACAGTACTAATTTCAGAGAGTTGTAAGGTTTTTTTGATATTAAAAAAATGTATAAAATACCTAGCAGTCCAATGCCCCATAATTGATAACTTTTGTGTGCAAGGAAAGAACTGTACTATGCAACTTTTGTATACTCTCTTTGGTTTTTCAAACAATACTGCAAAAATACAGTAAAGAAAGCTGAGACCCTGGGCAGTTGAATCAGTTGCTCAGGATCTCCAGGCTGTGAAGGACTGAGTGGAATTCAGTGCCAGGTCTGCCTGGCTTCAGAAGCTGGACACTCTCTTAACTGGCTAGACCTGACACCCTCTGTGCTCTGCTTTCACCATGTCCCACCTGTGTCCTCTCTGATTCTTTTTTAACTCTGTGTCTCATACACAATTTTCCCTTCATTGTTTCATGGAAATAGCATCACTCTTTGAAGGCACAGGCCTTATTGTCTTTTATCTCTCATAGTCTAAGAGCATACACACCTGTGGAGTACTCCATAACCATGTGATTTGTACAGTACTGCCTCTCATCTGTTTCACCATTGTTTTAATCTTGTGCATCTTTTCTTACAGCTCATTTCAGCGGCCACATGGCGTATTCCATTTGGATGATGGTGAATACTGGTCCAACAGGGCAGCCACTTATAAAGGAAAATCCCACCGACCCATCTTTGAGAACAGCATGGAAAAGATATACAGGAACTTGTACAAGAAGGCCTGTAGTTCTGCTTCTCATACACAGGAAAGCTTCTGAGGCCACCCACGATAAACCGTGTGAATGTCCGTGTCAACTTCCCAATGAAAAAGTTTGATGCGATCGATACCTGTATTCCTTTTTTTTAACCAGATGGTTCTAATTGAGAATACTGGTGAGACTTGAATAAGTTTATTACTTCAAATGGTACATTATCACAGGCAAGCCTTTTTAATCACAGCAAAGAGTGCTGTGTTCCAAAAGTCAAAGCTCCGCAGCAAAATCACGTCCATTGTGACTACAAGAAGGATATCATAACGTGTATGTCGCACCACCCTCTAAAAATTCCAGAGTAGATTCTCTCTGAAAATTTTCTGGCTTAAACACATTATAATTTTCTTTTCATGTACTTAACTGGTTATCTTGTCTGAGTAAGATTTAATGAATATTAACTCCCTTTTCTTGGTAATGAGCAAAAAGATATACTGTGTAGAAATGAATTTGCCAACAGTTGAAACCCTGTTTTAACTGGTATTTTCTACTTTTTCCTTCTTAGCTCATAAGAAGTCACTTTCTTCCTAAAGTTTATATAACCATTCACTTCATTTTCCTTAAAAGAACTCTAAGTTACCTAAAATGCATAACAGTTATCTAGTATAGCAGAGGCCATGAATGACTCAAAATGTGAATAACTTATTTTTAAAGATATAATTCTTTGCCTGATTTTCTTCTAGGGCTGTATCGTTTGGTGCAAACAGAATCAGAAAATAGCCTTTGTTAGTAAGCATGTAGAGAGTTAAAAAAATTGGGTGGGGATTATATTGTAATTTAATCTATTTAGAGTTTTCATAGGTACCACAGAGCCCAAGAAAGTAGCATCCTTACTTTAGAGGATACTTGGAACCGAAAAGGGAGTAAAATATTATAGCAGTACTCTTTGTAGTAGGCACTGGGAAGTCTGTTGGCTGATAAAGTTAGCTCCTACCCCAACCTCCAAACCACACATGTGAGTCCAGTGACACTTTGAAGATCTGAAGGAATCAGTGAGTGAGATAAATCAGGGTTCTTGAATTCTAGGAGCTCGCCGTGACTATGAAGGAAGCTCAGGCTTCCTTCACAGTTATACACAGTTATAGTGCAGTATCTGTGGATTTCCTCAGTTCTACTCTGTGTTTATATATTTATATATTTCTTCATTGTTGTATCAGTTTTCTAGCCCCACCACCACAGCCTAGGCATATCTCTATTATAGCACTTAAGAAAAACTGAGTTATCAATGACTTTTGTGTCTTTTTCTATCGTTCTTGGTTTTCCTCTGCATTTGTGGCACACAGTAGATACACGATGTTTGTTAAATAACTGCATGAAAGAAAAAATACGTGAAGGGCCACTAAAAACAATACAAAGTCTGTCTGTATCTAAGAAATAAGATGCCCTGACAAGACTGTTGCTGTCAGCTAGTTTATTTATACCTGTAGCCAAAGAGATAAAAATGGAAAAAATAAGAGAAAAAGCTTAGTTGTATCTTGGTCTTCAAGAAGAGAGATATGGTTCCTCAGCTGAGAGAGTTGGTGTTTCTGTAGTGAAATCTATTTTTTAAAAGAGTACTCATAAATTTAAAAAAAAAAAAAGAAGTCATAATATGACAGCCCGCCTTCTTGTTTGTGACTTGGCTAACCAACTCAGGTATAAAGTGTTCAGGTGACCAGGGCCAGCTAACAGACTGCTCCTGCAGAGGGTGGTAAGCGCAGGGTTAGGCAATGGACCAAGAACGTAATTGCCTCCATTGTTTCCAGCACCTTATATTCCAATGAAGGATAATTCCCTTCTATGAAATGCAAATGTCTTGGTTCCCAAGATGAGCCTTAAATATTTTCTTTCCCAGTGTCCTTATCTTGTGTCACTCACAAAGCAGTGCATTTTTGACTGAGGGATTGAATTCTCTATCTTCTAGCATTCAGATGTAAATAGCCTAGAAACTATGGTTCTCTTGATTAAGGATTAGTATGATAAAGTATTTATGTGAATATTTAAGCAAAACTGTCTCAATGAAATGCACTTTTTTCATTTCTACTAAATCTTAATCTTAGTATGTTGCTTTCATGCTCCAAAAATTCACATAAATGAACCTGGTGGAAGAGAATGTATTCCGCTCTAATTAATACTTACATAGTGTATGAATGTGTGCAGGTGCTTTGAGGACATGTTTTGTGATTTTTATTCCCATCCCCACTGTAGTGTTATCTTGAAAGTTTTTTAAAACAAGAAAGTTAAGGTAATATTTATTAAGGATCAACATCTGTACTTGTTGATTTTCATGCATTATCTTGTTTGATCTTCACAGCAACTGTAAACCAGTGTAGGTGTAAGCAATCTCAGTGTTACAGGCCAGGTGACTGAGAGTCACACTGCTGTGGCTGGCCAGTGAGAAACACAGCCAGGAAATGGTAAAGCTAGGATTTGAATCCAACCCCAGCCTGTCTCTCAACCAGATAAGTGGTTAAAAAGCTAAGCTGGTTACAGTTCATGAGTTTTTAAATGGTGTAGCTAGTTATCTCATCTCCGAGAGAACCTCAGTAAATTACATCACAAACTGAACTCACATTAATGCAGTAAAACCTGGGGCAGATTTACAACATTCAAGCACTAAAAATGACTAAAGAAATCTTGTGAACTAAGAAGTTGGAGGAAGTGTATGAAAAGAGTATCACTGAAGATTTATTTTAACTGACACAAGATTTCAGGGTGACCAGAGTTGGTATATGGGACAGTATGATGTTCTTTCTGTGGAGCCCCAGTTACTCTCCCTGCTTTAGTGACCACACATTCTTGTAGCACTGCACTTTTTAACAGCTTAATGATGAATAATTGATATAAAAAGAACTGCACATATTTAATGTGTATAATTTGATCAATTTGAACATATGCAAACACTTGTGACACCATCACTACAACCAAGGCAATAAATATATTCAATACCTTCCAGAGTTTTCACATTTTTAAACAGCTTTAGTGAAGTATGATTGATATACAAACAACTGTATATATTTAATATGTACATTTTGGTGAATTTGGACATACGTAAACACCTGTAATACCATCACCACACTCAAGGTGACAGATATATTCAGCGCCTTCCAGAGTTTCTTTCTGTCCCATATTTTGTTCATTAATTATAAGCACCATGCTGTACAATAGTTCTCCAGGACTTATTCATCTAGTCTAACTAAAACTTTATTATTATGAACAAATAAAAGGAATATTGACTCCTTATCAGATACACGGTTTGCAAATACTTTTCTCCCACGGCATAGGCTGACTTGTAATTCCATTGACTGTTTCCTTTGCTGTGCACAAGCTTTTTGATTTGGTGTTATTCCACTGATCTATTTTTGCTTCTTTCGCTCGTGCTTTTGATGTCATACCTAAGAAATTACTGCCTGGACCAATGCGAAGAGGCTTTTCCCATAAGTTTTCTTTCAGGAGTTTCATCGTTTCAGATCTTCCATTAATCTTCAATCCACTTTGAGGTGATTTGTGTGTATGGTGTAAGATAGAGATCTAATTTCAATTTTTTTTCATGTAGATGTCCAGTTTTCCCTGCACCATTTTTTGAAGAGACTCTCCTTTTCCCCATTGTGTGGTCTTGGCACCCTTATCAAGGACCAGTTGACTGTGTGTGTGTTGCTTTATTCCTGGGCACTCTTGTCTGTTTCATTGCTATATGCCCTTCTTTTTGCCAGGACCATATTCTTTTATTGCCATGGCTTTGTAATTTAGTTTGAAATCAGGAAGTGTGATACCTCTAGCCTTGTTCTTCTTTCTTTTTTTAAAAGGTTTTATTTATTTACTTTTTTAGAGAGAGGGAAAGGGAGAGGGAAATAGAGGGAGAGAAATATAAGTGTGTGGCTGCCTCTCTCACACCCTCTAATGGGGATCTGGCCCACAACCCACGCATGCGCCCTGACTGGTGACCTTTTGGTTTGCAGGCTGGCACTCAGTGCACTGAGCCACACCAGCCAGGGCTTGTTCTTCTTTCTTAAGATCACTTTGGCTATTCCGAGTCTTTTGTAGTTCTATATGAATTTTATGATTTTTTTCTATTCCTGAAAAAAAAATGCCATTAAGATTTTGATGTGTGTAGCAATGAAATGATGGGGATAGTGACCTGTAGATCAGTTTGGGTAGTATGGACATTTTAACAAGCCACCTGGCAACTACAAAAAAAATATGGAAGATTCATAAAATAAAAAGAAAAATTAATCAATATCGCTACAAAAAATCAACAAAACACAAAGGAAGAGAGCAAGATTAGAGGAACAAAGGAACTTCAAGACAGAAAACAACAAAATGGCACAAATAAGCCCTTTTCTGTAAATAGCTACCTTAAACATAAATGGAGTAAACTCCTCAAAAGGCACAGAAGGGCTGAAGGGATGATGAAATGAACCCCCACTACCTGCTATCTACAAGACTCACGTTAGGCTCGAGGACACACAGGCTCCAAGTGAAAGAACAGGAAAACAGCATTCCACACAAGCCGTGAACAGTGAACCCTACAGCACAGGTGGCTGACATCCCTATGTAGGAAACAGTAGACTGTACGTCAGAAACGTCACAAGCATCACTACACTTCTTTGCAGTGCAAGTTGAAAGAAGTGTAGCCTTCGGAGTTCACGATATAGTTGAGAAATAAGGTGAGAAATAGCCATTAAAGTCTTAAAGCCGTTAAAGACTTTTAATTTGTCACCTCTGTGCTATTTAACCTTTCTGAACTTGTGTTTTCACTTGTGAAATGAGAGCCATTTTTGTAGTGCTGTGATCATTTGCAGAGTTAATGCATGTGCAGTGCCTGGTATAACACTGGTGCAGTGCCTGGTGCTCAGTGAAGAATTGCTGACACTGGAACTCCAAGCCAACAGACAGGTGCTATTCTGAAAGATCTTGAGGATCTGACTGGAGAACAATGGAATATGTGTTATGTGAATAAATGTATAAAATTCAAAATTATGTTAAGTCACAAAATCAGTGTAGTCAGATTTTGGATATGGCTCTTAAATTTGCTAGTTATTGAATGCATGTAGGTTGTGCAGAATTATGGAAAAAGCCACATCTTCTGGTGTTTGAATTCTGTGGTGTTATCTGAAGGTACTGAACCTTAATTTTATTTTTCATGAAATGGGAATGATACAAACCTAGGATTGTTACTATAAAATATATATGTATTCAGTAAATGAAGCCAAATGACTAGCATTGTACCTGACAAGAAGTATATGCTCAAAAATTATTTAGTGCCCTTCCCCATCATCAGTTTAATAATTTTGTACGTAAACCCACCTGGACATAGCTGCTAAGCAACTAACCTTGTATGCTATGCACTTAGGTAGAGGTTTTATGTAGAGTTTACAAGTAAAACTAAGTGCCTGGCTTCAGTTTCCAAGAATATTATCCATTTAAATTTTATATATGACATCTCCCACTTATTAAGGCATTATTTTAAAAATAAAACTTAATTTAGTTTGAGAGTATAATCTGTTAAACCAGTTTTGACATAGGAAGTTTATTTTGTCCTTTGTTTATTTTTTTTAACTTTGTACTGTTGTATTTTACAAATTAATCCTATTCCTTTGATTTGGGAGATGTTAGAGATGGAGGTTAGAGAAAATCGCCTTAATTCAGTAGAAGTAGTTCTAGCCATCTTGCCCAGGTGAACATCTTGATAGCCATGAAGGATTTGTAATGGATGTCACTGAGCGATCACCACCTTTTTCAGAAGGTTCTACTGTTTGACACTCATCACAGAGGTGTGTGTGTGTGTGTCATATATACATACCTTTTTCAGTAGACCCATCTCAGGTTTATATATTTTTGGAAATTGCTAGCTGATGAGTATTATATTTTATCTGTTGCATCTTCCTGTATATAAATTATTCAGTGTTCAGAAAATTAGCCTAGTGGTTAAACACACAGCTTCTGGAGTCACCCTGCGAGATTCAAGCCACCCTTTAACCCTTTAACCACGTAGTAACTGTGTGATCTTAGACAAGTTACCTGATTTCTTTGTGTCTCAGTTTTCTCATCTGTAAATGAAAATAATGTTACTCATCTTACAGGATCATGATGATGATTAAGTTAGTTAACAAATATAAAGTGTTTAAAACAATGCTTAGCACATAGTAAGGGCTCTATAAATGGTATTATTTATAACGATGATGTATCTGAGTGATTATATGTTGGATTCATCTGAAACATGTTTGCTGAAACAAGCACTAGGTATAGCTCCCTTTGCACCCTGTTTTTTTTTTAAGATTTTATCTATTTATTTTTTAGAGAGAAAGGAAGGAAGGGAGGGAGAGAGAGAGGGAGAGAAACATCAATGTGTGGTTGCCTCTCACACCCCCTGCTGGGGACCTGGCTAGCAACCCATGCATGTGCCCTGACTGGGAATCGAACTGGCGACCCTTTGGTTTGCAGGCTGGTGCTCAATCCACTGAGCCACACCATCCAGGGCTGCACCCTGTTTTTAATAATGTTCTGTTAAATAAAAAGTTACACTGAAAGGAATCTACCACTCTACTCAACAAGAACATGTTAAAAACATTTCGCAGTTTCCTGAAGGATAGAAAAATAAGCTGTCCTGACTCTCCTTTGTGGCCCAGCAGTTGTTCACATATGATATTTCTACAACTGTGCTGCATAAAGAATGTGTTTTGGCACAGCAACTGCATAATTTGGAAAGCTTTTTGTTGATAATCTTAAACAAAAACAGTCAAACTCATTTCAGTTCCACTGGAAACCCAAGGAGGGGAATTGTTTCTGCCAAATGAGAGAAAAGATGCCAACTTTTGAATTAGAAAGTATTTTCAAGTGTTTATGTTGAGAAAATGGAAGAAAAAGAACATTTAACTTCAGTGAATTTTTGCCTAGTAAACATTTAAAGCCTTGGAAATTTCCACTAATTTCTTATGATAAATAATAGCTTGTATTCTACATAGACTCTCAACATTTTTAAGCATTTTTCCCTAAGTTATTTTATTGTCTCTCTCCTTAACTTGTGTGTCAGTTAGGCAAGGCAGGATTAGAATCTTCATTTTTACAAATGAGAAAACTCAAGTTTGGGTTCAGTGTCTCTTGCAGGTCACACAGTGGGTATGTAAGTGGCTGAATTAGGACTTCAATCCACATATTAGTGTTTTCTCATAAATAGTCTATAGAACTTTTTCCTACTATTGTTTGATTTTCTTTAGGTATTGCATGCTAAGAGATGATACTTATTCTCAGTGATGGATTCACTTATATGTTTGGAGGAGGCTTGTTTTTCATTATTCAAAATATTTATATGTTTGTAAATACCTCCAAACATTTGCTTTCCCTGCTTCGTGCTCTGTCCTACCTGTTGACCAGTTTCTCTTACTTATTAACACATTTCTGCTCCATTGAGCAGCAAAGGAAATTACGCCGGCCAACCTGTGACTTATGAGCAGCTCTACCAAAAAGGTGTAGCAGTGAAGGCTTCTATGGGATTGCAAGAATTCGGTGATCTCGGTACCACAAGTAATTGGAAATTGCCATAATTTGGACTCAGAAGTACAATATGCATGACTATACAGCATCTAGGTGTAAAGCTGGTGAAGTTTTTGGTTATGTTCCAGTCCAGTGGCTCTGAATCCTGACTGATCAGACCCACTCATGTTAAAAAGTAGTTTCCTCATCTCAGCCTATGGAGTCCCTGATGCAGTCAGTTTCACTGCATTTTTGAGAGTTTCTCTAGGTGACTGATGTTTGCCCAGGTGAGAACCAGGGGTCTCCTCCTGTGTGGCTTCCACTGTAGTAAGGACCATAGAGGGCTTTTTTTTCTCATTTAAATTTCGCCTTTTAAAACTTTTTTACTTTGTTAATATCTTCATCATCTGATTTTTTTTTTTATTTTAGGCACAAAATACCTTGAGCTCCAAGAGAGATAATGACTGGCCCTTGATTTCCATGTGAATTAAATATCTTTTGGGTTATTCATGGCTCATCTTTAAATACCAGGGTTTTATTTTTCTCTTTTCATCTCAACAGATATCAAGGCCATTTATTATGTATCAATTAAGCAAACTCACTATAAACTAGATATTGTGAGTGGCATTGGGCAAATATGAGATAAATCCTGAGCTCTCACACTTTATAATACAGTGTATTGTAAAATGTTAAATGTATTGCAGATATATACAATATAATTAAACATGTGAAAGAGGAAGGAATCACTTAGTGAGTGGAGGAAGACACCACAAAA